AGTAAAGTAAAAGTATTTAATTAACCTTACCCGGGTATATCGGGTAGGATTTTATACCCGGATATATCTGTTGATCATCCGGGTAACCCGCTAGATATACCCGTCAGATAACCGGGTAGCATTTTTTCGATCGGGTACCATCACTAGGTGGACCCACTAATCTACTCCTGTTCCTAATCCACATAACTTTTGTTTTGATATACAATTACATGCATGTAAATCAGAAATCAATCTTCAATCAATGTACGTACTAAGATAATCGAGTAGTCGAGTATTCAAGTATTCAAATATTCACTAAAAAAAAACATTTACCATTTTCTACCATTTTGAAAACAGTGATAAATAAATCAATATTAACATATTAGATAAAGTTATTCAGATCAAAATAAAAACTTGATGCGAATTAACTTTTTAACTTTTTATTAATATATTTTTATTTTTTGTCTTACAAAAGATTAAGGTCCAAGTTTTAAATTTGGTTCTGAACCAAACCAGATTTAACTTGGATTTGGGATTTATATATAATTCTGGTTCTTATGTTTTTAATTTGAACGCTAAAGGTTTTAGAACCTACACCAAACCTAAACTAACTTTACTATCCCTAGGTAAGTCATTTGAGATCGATCAATGCTAACAAGCCTATTGGCAACAAGAAGATAAAGGGCATTTATTCCCTCTCTTTCTTGCCATCTTTTCTCGCGCGCAGCTCGGCTAATCTGATCCTTAAGATCAGCAAGTGGTATTTCTCCTCCTACGTTACGAACCATTTGTAGAATCATTGCAGCAATAATGGCTTGTTGCGATGGAACCGGTATTGAGACATTCAGATCGATATCGCTTTGATCTAATGTAGATGCGACATAATTGACCAGAGTATTATTGACCTCTCTAATAAATTTTCGAATAATAGTTAAATTTTGGTTTATTAATAATAATGAGATAACATAACGGGCCAAATCTCTTACTTGATGACATGATGATTAAATTCCAATGACAACCATCTTTGACGATCATCCAAAATCTGGTCAATTTTCGAAGATAGAGTGGACTATCCATCGAAAAAATAGAAATATCAGGACAAATATAAGTTGAACAGTTAATTAAAGAAATTTACCAAAATAATTTCGATTCTATCTTTTCCTTCCGAATGAACTTCATTTGTCATCTATGTATTAATGGCGTACAAGTTCATTAGACATTAAATGGATTATATAGTGTATATTAATAATTCATTGTGTACCATGTCTGCTTTCTTCGATATACTTTGAAATTTAAACTTTAAGTGACCAAAGTCACCAGTGTACATTTGTCGCGACGCAATTTCTTCCAACTCTTCAAGCTGAGTGTCTTATAAAAGCGGTCAATAAATAGAACATCTCAGAACAAGGAAACCAATGAAATTTCGTAACAAATTTATGAATTTATGCCATATTAAATACCTAATTCCGCAAGGATTTCTTTCTTAAACTCAAGAAGTTGCAGCCTCTCCGCTAGTTCATGGCTAACCTAATACATTTGAAATGGCTTTATTGTTCAGATTATTAGATAACAAAAACATTCATAAACATACCACTATATCATCGGAATCATCCATATCATCAAAGTCATCATCTTCATTTAAAACCAACATTCCCAAACGATGATTTAATTTGATTTCCTCTTCTTCTAACTGTTTTTGCTCTGCTAATTCTTCATCAAGAGAGTTCACCTATAAAACCAATAATAGTTATGCTTATGCAATCTAATTTGAATACACGAAGCCGATTTACTATTAACCTTCTTTATATACTCCTTTTTTATCATTTCTAATGCAAGGATTTCTTTTTCATGATGCCAAATATCTTCCTCGATCTTTGACATTTGATTGCCTGAAGATGAAGCCTCATCACCCGTATTAACTTGATCTAGATATATTGCTCGTTCAGCAATTTTACATTTTTCTAGATTGATCTTTTGCTATTTTATTTAACTATACGTAAGATATTATTTAAATGAAAATATTTTGCCCTTTTTTTTTTTAAATAAAAATAAAAAAAAAAACAGAAAATTTACCTTTTCCATTATGGATTCCAAACTGTCTATTGAAGACGTGATTTCTTCGTGACGTTGCGCCAAGAATTCAATTTGCTCTTTGGCATCCTGAAGATTACTGAACAATTATTTAGGCAAATAACGATGGTAATACATCATAAGAATCCTTAATATTATCATACCATATTTGAGCTAGTACATTAGCAGCTCGTAATATCTTATCGACAGTCACAGGATCAGGTCCGCGTAATGGAGTGGGCTGTTCTAATTCTTCCCTTTTATAGTATAAGTTCAAAATTTATAACTGTTCCCGAAATGTTATAATACAATATTTTTTGAAAAATCGTTACCTTGGTGTTGTGCCTAGTTCTTCAACGAGTGTAAATAATTTACGTTCATGTGGTGCAGCCTCACGGATGACTTTTCGGTTTGACGAAGGTTTTAATAAAGCAGCTATGCGTGCGTTATTAGTTGAAAAATTTAATGACGCGATTTCCGACGAAGTTTGCACTATTTTCTCTAAGTGTGCAAAACCTTTAAAGGACATTGTCATATAATTATTTTTTCACGAAATAATTGGCGCTTTTTTTGATCTCTCTTTCGCGTGACGTAGCCAATTATGTAGCAAATAATATTACCGGCACAAACATGTCGTCATAGTTGCCGGTTAATCCAGTAATTACATCAAATCTCCTAAATATAGAGATGCGATCCAATCCGGATATCTGCTTTAAAATCCGATCCTATACGGATAACAGATAACCGCATATTAAGGGTAGGGGGTACAAAACTCGTGGTATTTATTTCTTATCTTTAAAATTTTACAAAATTCTATTAAGTAAATCATTTGTGGGCTATTAAAT